CCACTTTTTAAAGGGTTATGAGCTCTCTGTGTGAAAAAATAGTGAAGTGACACAAGATCTGCTATTCTGTTGCAGAGAGCTCCATCCCACTCAAAATCACCAGATTCTTAGATGACTATTCAATTCCTCTCCAAGTTGTTACAAATCGTAGGGTTTTTTTTTTTCCTACACAAAAACTGCCACTGCATTGTGACTATACAAGGGTTGACCCTCGTGGTGCTTGTTCCTCTTTTGTTTGGAGGTATAGACAAGGGTCTGCGTGAACTTTGAGTAACATCTAGAACTGTGCAAAAGGAGTGTGTGTGTGTGTGTGTGTGTGTGTGTGTTTGGAGGTATAGACAAGGGTCTGCGTGAACTTTGAGTAACATCTAGAACTGTGCAAAAGGAGTGTGTGTGTGTGTGTGTGTGTGTGTATATATAGGTGTACAGCATATAAAATAAAGGTTAAAAAAGCATTTGTTTTTATGGTTACCACTAGAATGGAGATGTTATGGCAATCCCTGTACAGCATTCACAATCTTTTTTTCAGTTATTATTAAGATAATAAATACTAAAAATGCAGAGCTGTGCAAGAATGTTACCCTATCAAAATAACTGTCTTGAAACATGATTGTCATACAGCTTAAGTTCTCTAGTCACCTTTCCCAAGGGAAGAATGATCTCTTGCTCTCTGTAATATATCTCCCACCTACCAGATTAATATCTCATTTAAATTCACTCTTACCTATCCTTCTGTTCCCTTACCACTCCTCAAAGGTATTAAAAAGAAACAAGAATCACAGTGAAAAAGAAAATACACGCTCTGAAACACCCTGAAATGTAAGGAAAAAACTGTAACAGTACTTGCTAGGAAGCAGTACACAAGTGGTGCAATTTGCACCATGTAGCTTGACATGTCCTAAGAGACATGGAATTTTTGCAACATTTGAAAGTTGTCAATAGACAGTTACTGTCAGCAGGCAGCACTTACCACAATACAGAACCACAGGATTTTAACAAACATTAGAAGGTGACAAAGATATGTCAATATATATCTATATTTACTCTCGCATAAAGATACATGCACACACATACAGTTAATAGGTAGACAGATAGGCAGACAGATGTCTCATTTCACAAACACAGTCATCCTAAAGTACTTAGTACTTAGTCATCCTGAAGTACTCAGGATCTCTAGACTGTATGTAATACAGAAAGAAAACACACCTCTGAAGACCTCCAGAGGCAGATACAGATCACTTATTTTAACTGCCTACCTCCCTCTACTGAATATGTAAGAAACGGAGAGAAAACATTAGCTATTTATTGTGTTTGGATCCAGTCCACCTCTTTTAGGCCAAGGCATCCAACCTCAACAGACTTCAAAAAGAGGCAGGTGACAACAGTGACAAAGTCCACGACACCTGCTCCCCTCTGTACACACCCCAACAATCCCCTTCACGCCTTCTGCATAACTGCTGAGATGTCTGTCCAGTTGCCAAAGTAGCAGAAGAGGTAATCACACTCCTAGCTGCACAGCCCAGCCTCAGCTAAACCTAAAGGGAATGCCTAAAGATTTGGTAGTGAATGCTGAGATAGACACCCTGTCATACAGTAATTCAGATTGGAAAGGACCTTCAGCAGGTCTCCAGTCCAAATTCCTGCTCAAAGCAGGGTCAAAACTGAATTCAGACCAGGTATAATGTCTTATTATGTTCCTCGAGTTCAAACCCAAAAAACATCAGCAGCATCTTTTTATGGTTCCTGAATCTGAAATCATTTAGCTTGAATTTTAGTTAGCAACGGTACCAATTCTTCAAAAATGAGTGGCATGCTCAACAGCATGTTTTTCCACAAATAACTACTTCAAGGTTAAACAAGGTTATAAATCTAAATAATACATAATCCACAGAATATTCTCTCTCAATTATACTTAGAATCATAGAATCATTTAGATTGGAAAAGACCTTTAAGATCATCGAGTCCAACCGTTAAGCTTGCACTACCAAGTCCACCACTAAACCATGTCTAAGCACCACATCTACACGTCTTTTGAATACCTCCAGGGATGGTGACTCAACCACTCCCCTGGGCAGCCTGTTCCAGTGCTTGACAACTCTTTCGGTGAAGAAATATTTCCTAATATCCAATATAAACCTCCCCTGGCACAACTTGAGGCCATTTCCTCTCGTCCTATCGCTTGTTACTTGGGAGAAGAGACCCACACCCACCTCGCTACAACCTCCTTTCAGGTAGTTGTAGAGAGCGATGAGGTCTCCCCTCAGCCTCCTTTTCTCCAGGCTAAACAACCCCAGTTCCCTCAGCCGCTCCTCATAAGACTTGTTCTCCAGACCCCTCGCCAGCCTCGTTGCCCTTCACTGGACACGCTCCAGCACCTCGACGTCCTTCTTGGAGTGAGGGGCCCAAAACTGAACACAGTAGTCGAGGTGCAGCTTCACCAGTGCCGAGTACAGGGGCACGATCACTTCCCTACTCCTGCTGGCCACACTATTTCTGATACAGGCCAGGATGCCATTGGCCTTCTTGGCCACCTGGGCACACTGCTGGCTCATATTCAGCCAGCTGTCGACCAGCACCCCCAGGTCCTTTTCTGACAGGCAGCTTTCCAGCCACTCTTCCCCAAGCCTGTAGCGCTGCATGGGGTTGTTGTGACCCAAGTGCAGGACCCGGCACTTGGCCTTGTTGAACCTCATACAATCTGCCTCAGCCCATTGATGCAGCCTGTCCAGATCCCCCTGTAGAGCCTTAAGCCTTTCTATCCTCGAGCAGGTCAATACTTCCACCCAACTTGGTGTCGTCTGCAAACTTACTGAGGGTGCACTCGATCCCCTTGTCCAGATCACTGATAAAGATACTAAACAGAACTGGTCCCAATACTTCTTTACATAAAAGGAAATTAAAGACAAAAGTACTAAAGCATGTACCTCAAAAATATATGAAGTGTATAAGGTATATAAAATATATATACTTTAAAGTATATGCTTTGAAAAATATTTATTTAAAAGCAAATGATGAAAGAAAGCCAGTGGGAGAAGTAATTAGTGTTAGGCTACATATTTGGGAAGGATGGCTTGCATTCTTGCAACAAGAACTGTTCACGCGTGTTTCACCAAAAAAATGAAAAACTGTAATTCTCAAGCAGTTCTGAAACCATCCCTCTATAGGGAGGATGTATCATCACCAGGCTACAGAGGCAGGCTCCTTTCTTTGAGTCAGCGCTTCTTGAATTCCTTTCTACACTCTAAAATGGCATTACTGGAAAAGTGAAAAGTGCGTATGTCCCACATTAGCCTCTGAACTGGTGTTTAGGGCATCCCCCTGGACTGGCAGGTGACAGAATTTTAATCTTTACAAGCTGAGAAGGGCCTAGGACCCACACCCTGAATAACTGCTCAGATTGTACCCAAGGAAAGCACAACCATTTCTCCTCAAAGGCATGTGTGTATCCCTGTCTTTCAGAGAGAACTCACCTACGGGGGAGATGTACACTGCACGCACTCTGAAAACACCCCACTGACTGAGCCCTCAGGACATAAAAGCAATAGAAATGTAGTTTCTGGGTCCTGATTTCACTTAACTTCACTTAAATGTCACTTAAATCCCATTCTTGTGAAGACTGAGAAATCCTGGGATTGCACAAGTATGTTATCTAGATACCTAAGGGTTTTTTTGTGCATTGTTGTTTTGGGTTTTTTCTGGGGATGGGGGAAAGGAGGAGGTGTTAAAACACCAAGGCAGAGAGTACAGCCCTCACTTAAGGAAAGTACAGTTGGTTACTGAGCTCTACAGAGCCTACAGCCCTAGGTCAGCAAAGCAGTACAACATATTGTACTATTATGGTGCAAAAAAGAGAGCTAATATACAGAAGTTGGAATGAAGAACAAAGGCAGAAAAGAGGGAGGGAGACATTTCTTTGCACATTTTACCAATGATCTCCCGACCGTGACACCCATGGACAGCTGTGTTAGGCAGGCTAAATGGCAATATTCCCAGAAAGTAGAGAGCAACTGCAACTTGTTTTTAGCATTAGACAGCCTAAATTTCATAAAGGGAAGGCTTTAGGACCCCAGTCAACTTTGCTGCTCATTTTATGACCCCAGGCAGTTGTTTTTGTTCTGCTAACCATTTTAGCCTCACAGGTTAAAAACAAGAGAGTCACCAGAAGGACAACTTCGTGAGCCTGCATGAAGTTACCATCTTATCCTGTCCAACCACGTGGTCATTAAGGCCATAACTACACATTAATAGACAAATGACAAGACTGTAGGGCTTTGTCCTCAACACATGTGAACTCTATATCCCTTTCTATCACATACAACCTCATATTGCCACTATTTCTCACATCTTCCCAGCTCCTAACCAATTTCTGCATTAACTTATGCCTTATTAATTCAGAGAAAACTGTATAGTATGCAGAGTAATTGCTAAAAGGCAATCTCACCATCAGCCTAGATAACTCTTAATTTATCAGATAGCTTCCTATGGTGCATTGGAACAACTGTCACTCAACCTCCCTTTTTTTTTAAATTATTTTTAGAAACTCAGGTAGGGTTTTTTTAGAAACTCAAAAGCTTACAAAACTAGAACCCAAAAATGAACCTCAAAAACAAACTACCCAAGTATTTCTATTAGAACAAGACAAAGAACATGATGGGCGGAAATACTGATATAACAAAATCTCTCTTTTGTAGCACTCCGGGCAGTAATTTTGCATTTTAGTATCATCTAAATTAAAGAAGTTCAAGAGGAATTTAAATTTACAATTTAAATCAAAGCAATTTTTTACTTTTTCTCAAATATCATTTTTTAAAAGTCACGAATTCCAAAAGCAATGCAGTTTCTAATCACCTGCATGATTTAATACTCCTTCTTTGAAAGCATAAAAGCATAGGGAGAAGCTAAAAATTAACAGATAACTTTTATTACATGCATAAACTAATGAAAGATGAAAATCAAGAAAAGTATGAACAAGTTTGGAAATAAAAACCAGAAAGCTTTACCTTGAAAAGCAGCTGCATTACGAGATACTAAAAATTTTAACGTAGCGCTCGATGTCTGAAGCACTTGCTGTATCTCTTGCTTTGCTGCAGCCTGATACCTTTCTTCCATCTTTTTGGTACAGCATGTTGGATTTTTAGAAGTACAAACCTGGAGATCAACCCCTAGAGAAAGAGATAATTACATTGATTACTACAAAACAGAAATACGCAATACACAAATACATAGAAAACAGTTACTTTTTTTTTAAAACATAGGTATAGACACATAAAAGAAATACACAAAGCTTTAAAGACATCTGGTCTTGTTAAACAAAAAATTGAAGGAGATACTAACTAAAATTCTGTGGGAAGAGTACACTTATTACAGTTAATTCATGTCATATAATATAATTTCCCTGACACCGTAATCTTATTCCAGCTGTGAACATTGCTAACTAATGTTGGTAAAATACACTAGATATGCATTGCACATGATCTAGAATACTGAACTGCTGGGCCAGCTCATGGCTGGCACTCTTGTTCTTCTGAAAATCTTGGACTGGAAAGAGCTAACTACTGCTAAATATTACAAACACATTAGTGGAAAGCTCATTCCTGACAGGAGCACTCCTAAATTCCAGTCTAATCTCTCTTACTGTGTCTTTCTCTAATGTCTGACATTCCCACGTATCTGTCATGCCAATTCACTACTTCACTAACAGGTCTGGAAATGTTCCTAGAAAGGAATACCTTTTCAAATTTTGGGCACGCTGAAATTCAAGAGGGGCAATGCAGTACTGTTATAACAGCTGTCTGTTTCGTATTTTTTTTTATAACTGGAGCATAATCAAGCATGAAAATACCTTATTCACCTTCCTTGTTATCATGTGGTATTTAAAATCTTTTTTAGACTGTATCTAAACAATGCTTTCTAAAATGAGGAAACAAACATTGCATGAAAGAAGAAAGATGTGAAAATTTAAATTATATTAATACAAAATTTAACTGTCCAATCCAAATTCTGTTCTCAGATATGCTGTTTCACTGACAGATATCACAAGATTTCTAGCAAATATAGTGAGAAACCATTTTTATCTGCTTCGTGGACTAAATTCTAATTCTGCGCTTGTGTGTATACGTGTCACTCTTTCTTCGTAATAGTTAAAAAGGGAAGATCACGATTGGAAGAAAAAAGACTTTCAAAATTCAAAACTTAAATTCACATCGCCCTTGCCTCTATACTCGCTTTCAGCTCTTACACCACCTCTTTGTACTTAACCTTTTATTTCCCTACCACTAAACCTACAAGATTTAACATTCTTTTTATATCTTTTTTCCCCCCCCATTTTTCTCTGATAAATCATTCTAAGGTAGTATGAATATAGTTATGGGGAAAGGGAGGCCTTGCACATTTTGCACCCTAAATATTCCATTAGTTATCTTATATAAATTAGGTGTTTTAAATAACATATTCCAGAAAGCCAAGAAAGAAAAGTTAAGCTTATGTCCCTTTATCCATGTGTTGGTTGAAGCAATCTTAATGAAGGGATTCCTGGCCCTGGAACTTCACTTCAGCTACACAATGGGAAAAAATGTTATTATTTACATACAGCAATCCCAGTCCTGAAGCAGGAACCCACTGTGTCATATTTAGATAGGTAGAAAAGATCCGGAAAATTCCTTAGAAATCAAGTGTAGAAAAGCACAAGACCAGAATGAAATTGGTAAATGATATGGACCATAAAAAAAAAGGAAGTTATCCCAGTCCTGGATGAACACTTGTCTCTACGATACTACACAGAAGTAATTTGATTCCCATGACAAATAAACAAATTTCCCTTGCTAATTGCAGATAATATGGTCTCAGATTTGCCGAACATTCCCTTCTGGCATCGGTGGTTTCCATCTTCACAATTCCTGGTCCCTCCATCCAAAAGCAGGTGTGGAAGGAGGATACATTTGAACCTTCAGTATTAAATAATACAGAATTTCTTTTTATTTTTAAAGGATCTTTTCTGCTTCACGCTTTAGGTCGTATGACGCAAGTTTTCATTTTAGTGAGAAGTGCTGCTCAGGAATTGATATAATTCCATATTTACGAAGACAAAAGTTTGACTCCATATACACAAGAACAGTTTACTGCCCATGGCAAAAATGTGTGCCTTGAAATAAATCCACTTCACAGACCTAAGCAGCAGTAAATATCATTATGTTAAAGGAAAGCAGTAGATACTTCAAGAAATCCTACTACCATACAGAATTCACAAATCGGAGATTGACTTCATGGTAGCATGCAAAAGTAAGAATGTAACCTCTGGATGTGAAAATGAAGTAAGGCAAATGATATCTCTATAAATCTCTTTGAAGTGGCTTCCAATAGCAGTTTAACACCTACAAGCCACAGTCCAGGAAGCTGAACACCTTCACTATCACAACAGAAAGCTAAAACTCTATTCTAATGCGGGTATGAATCACTGAACTTCTGTGAGTATCAAGAAATTTTATTTCTTAAGTGTTATACTATTGCTACAAGATATCTTTTTCCTCATACAGCTTGATGTTTTTGAAGGCTATTTATCCTCATCATTTATTTAAAAATAGAATTTCCATGTTCTTCAGTCTGTACATTTTTACAATTTACAAATTAAGTCATTTCTCCTGGCCAGCTGCCTTTACAAACCTCTTGCCATGTGAAAACTTGTATGTTCCATCCTCCGACATTCCGGTTCAGCCAAAGAATGAAAATAAAGCTGCAAAATTAAGGTCTATTAAATTATCTGTTTAGTAGCTACTCTAGTATTTATGTTATGCATGCCAAAGAAAATGCTTAGTGTCAGAGCCAGCCTTAAACAAAGTTGCTTGCCTCCAAGCAACATTAATGAGCATCTTACAATATTTTTATTGAGTATTAAAAATTTGGTTCACCAGTGCTCTACAACCTCAGAATCCAAGTAACTATCTATCTACAGCCTCCATCTCCTACTGCATGCCCCATGCTTACCCAAGCCAGATGTCGATCCTTTGACTCCGCTGACTCCAACCTCCCAATCCATACCAGCTCTCCAAACTGAGGCCCCTGCACTGCTGACCATCCCTACCTTCCTACAGCATTCCCACATTCCCAATCCTAGGCACCACGACCCCACCTCCAAAATACTGAAGACTCCTCTCCTCTCATAGAATCATAGAATCATTTAGGATCCCACTTTTCCTCACAAAATAATGGCATGCCCTGCAATAGTCCAAAGCGCAGCCCAGCATAAAACAAAGCAGACGTAGAAACTGCAACATCACCTAAGAGCGATATAATGCAGATCGGCTGCTCCGGGTACAGGCCTCTCTGCAGGGGGCAATTGCTGCAGTGCAGCTAAAACTCAGTAAAAAGTGGGGAAGGAGCAGCAGTGGGAACGGACCAAGTCATGGGACCCCAAGCAACCACTTCAGATGCTTGCGCTTAAGGCTGGCCACATCTAGGATTTAAAACAGGCAAAGCTGGAACTTGAACTACATGGAAGTTTGTTTTTCTGCAACCTACAGCTGTAGCTCTTACGACACTTGTTTAAAAGCTAAATCTTTTTATCAGTTCAGCAAACTTTGGTTCTGGAAAGAGAGAGCAGTCACTCAAGCGAATGGGTCAAGAGAACAGATTACTGGTGCATGACTCGAATCAAGAAATGTAAGGATTAAAGCTATGTTAGTACGACCTGTTCCAGGGGTGAGTTATGCTGCATGTATATAAAACACATATAACTTCAGGTGCAGTAACTCTAATGCAAAACGTGTCTAAGTTGACATTGTTTAAGGAAATAAAACACTGCAAGTTTCTATTAATCCTTTTAAATCCTCTTGCTCGTCATTAGATACATTTGCTGTCATACGGAATACTAATTAATTTAAATATTAGCTACAGCAAATGAGAATTTTAAAATAACATACTGTTAAAACAGCAAGCGGCAAACAGGACTAATATACCACCCACCTACAAACAAATTAAAGGAATGATAAATAAGCCTGTAGCAATATTTACTCATCATACCAGAAAGGCCTATCCATAGGTATGACATGCAGTTCTCTCTCTCCCATTTTTTTTTTTTTTACTCTCAAAGAGATAATCACACAAAGAATATCACAGTATGAGACAAGCCAAGGTTGTAGTATGCCAGCAGCAATACACCTAACAAACATCAAGAGAAAAAATGTGTATCCTGATAGCAATATTCACAGTATTGCATTACAACAGCCTTTTTTCCTTTTTGGTTACTGAATATTATCTTCTGCTTGTAACAAAACCCAACTCACTACTGTTGAAAAAAGGCAGGCAGCTACCTAGTCATGTAACAGACACTGTAAAAGAGAGGAACCATGTTATTAAGTTGTTTGGACACACTTCAATGCCATACCAGTTTCAGACTTACTGTATTCTTTATTCCCCTATAAACGTTCTTTAGGTTCTTTTCTGAAAAGGAAAGGTTTTATTTATGTTTGCTTATTTAAAAATAGATTCTCTCTTTAATTTTTTTAATTATTTGTGCATATGATTTCTCTTTACTAACCTTCAAATCAGCAGAGAGATCAAAAAGAAAGAATTAGTCATACAGCCTGATCTATTAGTGTTTGTCTATTGGTCTCATGTTGACAAACCAAGCAATTTTACAATTCTTTGCAGTACTTGTTTTTTCTTAAAACTCCAATTCTGCTGTTCCAGGAAAGTCTTTTATCTTCATAAAGAAGTTTCTAGCCAGCATGACTTATGAAGAAAGAGTGCAGAGGGGACAGAGGTCACTTGTGATACTACAAATCTAAGACAGATTTTTTTAACCCAGATGCATGAATTTTGAGGTGTCTGGTACATCATTATTAGCACTGCTGCTCAAACTTACATTTGGTAACTAATATATCTATTAATTTAAGTGCAGCTGAATTGGGACTCTACAATGGAAATATCCTATTAAGAGAATATCTTCGTCCTATAAGAAACAGAAGCTGAACAGTTAGGCACAAATTCATCAGTTCATCAATTCATCTAATCAGACTAACATCTGGATTAAATTATGAACTCCTATGTTGCTGAAACCTCTAGAGCGACTAGAAATTTTACTATGTGATATGTGTTAAATTCATGTCTGACCTTGCCCAAAGCCTGTCTTTGTCAAGAAACATGCTCAGCACCTACTT